TCTCACATGCTGCTCTGGGCCAGGAGCAACACCAAGCCTTCCTGGTTGTGGGGACAGTCCGAGAGCCGTGCCAGGAGGAGCTGGTCTGGAGCAGCTCGAGGTCACCTTGGCCACCTTTGCCTTAACCCCAACTCCCCCATCTCCAGTGTCAAAGCTGGTGGTCAGGGGCAGCACGAGGGAATGTCCCCATGGCTGGGGGCAAGCGCCGAGACGCAGCGAGCCGGGGACAGTCGCTAACTCCCCCTCCTGTCTCACCCAGGGCCATCATGGATAAGAAGCTGGCTGCCTACGTGAACATCCTGCCGAAGAGCTCGGCCTTGTAAGTTGGGCTGAATATTCCCCAACGGAGGAGGCGAATCCAGGCTCCCGGGGGGGAAGGAGGAGACGGACACCCCGCGGCCCCGGGGAGAGGTGGCAGTTTTCAGAAGGCTGCTGGGTTGGTTTGTTGTTGCAGATGGTAGAGACGATCCTCAGCCGTGCAAAGTGCGCTAAGCTTATTAAAGAGTGCAGATGCTCTGTCTGCCGGGGGGGACCATTTATCTATTGGTTACTTAGCTACATGGAGATCTAGCAAAAAGCAAGGTGATTTATGGTCCTAGGACATAGCACTGGTTTTTAGAGGATCTAAAAGAAGCAAAGATAGGGACCAGAAAGAGCCTTTACATTATTAAGGAGCACTTTTGGAAAGGAAGAACAGTATCTTTGACCTTGGAATATGACCAGCCGTGCTCTGCAGGTGTCCTCAGCCATCCACACAAAGGGATTGCACTTGTTAGAGGGGTTAAAGAGCAAAGCCCCAAAACAGCCATTTGCTCGCAGAGGCACCCTGGCCTGGCCTCCCCCATCGCAGCCTCCCCGCAGGAGGGGCTCCTCACAGTGCACCCCCCATAGCCCACCCGAGGCTGCTGAGCTACGGCACACGCAGTAATCGCAGTAACACCCTTCTTCCCCTCACGCTTGGTTCCCTGCGAGCCACAGCGGCCAGAGCCGAGTTGCTCATGCACAGCCCTGCCTGCACCAGCTGGTTTCTCCTCCGTGCCCCACGCAGGAGACACCACGACGCCTCCGAATGCCTCCTCGCTCAGGAACCCAGCGCGCAGATGAAATCACGATGGCCTTCTGTCAACATAAATGTTTTGAAAGGTCATATCTGACTCACGAGAAGTACATCTCCTCTCCTGCAGGGAGAGAGGGGAAAAAAGCAAGATGCTGCCGCGCTCAGCATCCCAGTTGCAGCCACGCCACGGTCCCTGCAGGCACCGGTCCCCGGCCGCTGCTTGGAGCAGGACCACCACCACACGGCCCCCCACGGCCAGCCCAGTCCCAGCTCCTTTGCCCTGCCGTTCCCCCTGGGCATCTCTCTCGAGGCTGGCACAGCCAAGGAGGCTCTGGTCTGTAAATCCAGGGTGCTCAGCCACGTGCACAGCAGGCTTTTGAGGCCAGCGATGCGTCTTCAGCGCCACTTTGTAAAGGAACGGCCACATGCAGAAAGCACCGAGCGGGGAAACAACCCCCCCAGGGGAATCGGCATCAGCTGTATTTGCTGATGCTTCTTTTCTTTTAAATCTAGGTATTTCTGGAAGGGGGAACTGGAAGAATCCACTGAAATACTGCTGGTAAGTGACAATTCCCCACATCACGAAAATCCCCATCCCAGGCAGCCCCAGCCAAAAGGGACTGCAGGGTGGTTTGGGGAGGGTGGCACCAACCTGCCCAAGATTTGGGACAGTACCCAGGGACCACGAGCACCTGCCTGCGGGCATGGCACTGGCAGCTGGGGGTGGTGGCCTGGCTCAGCCCCTACTGCCACCACAGTGGACATTGCACAGGGGAAGAGCCCAGGAAGGGCTCCTATCGCACCGCTGGCCATGCTGGATGGGTGCAGTGGAACTGCACGTACAGGATTTCTCCATCCCTTTTACTTCTCCCTTGTTTTTTGTTTTGTTTTGTGTTTTTTACTCTCCACAGTTAGTGAAAACAAGGACATCCAAAATAGGCGAATTGTCCGACTACGTCAGGTGAGGCTCTGGGGAAGAGCCCAGGAAGGGCTCCTATCGCACCGCTGGCCATGCTGGATGGGTGCAGTGGAACTGCACGTACAGGATTTCTCCATCCCTTTTACTTCTCCCTTGTTTTTTGTTTTGTTTTGTGTTTTTTACTCTCCACAGTTAGTGAAAACAAGGACATCCAAAATAGGCGAATTGTCCGACTACGTCAGGTGAGGCTCTGGTTCTGTGGGAGGACCGGGTTTCCAATCCAAGGTGGGCTGCTGTCTCCTGCTCAGGCTGTAGGAGTCAGGTTCCTTGAGCCCCCTCCGACCCGGGGTGGGGGGGGTTAATCCCGGTGTACCTTGTGAGCCAGCAAAACTCAGAGATGGCATCAGCAGAAAAGAAAAGGTTGGCGGAAATATCAACTGTTGGGCTTCAACCAGCCCCTCCGTACGGGGTACAAGGCGGGATTCCCCTCGTAGCGCAGGTTGTTCCCTGGCTGCCTCGGGGCAGGATTTCCTGCGTTTCCCAAGCAGAGTGGTGAGCACAGCCAGCTTTGGGCCAGGGCCCCTGGCAGTCAGCTGCTGGCTGTGGTAAACCCTAAACTCAAAGCAAAATTCTCACATGGCAAAAAGAAGATGCGGGTGCTTTGAAGTCAGTGGAGAGCGTGGGGCAGGGCTGGTGCGCACGGCTGGGAGTGGAGACCTCCGCTTCCTGCGCCTGCGAGCGGGAGCGGGTCTGTTCTGCTGCGGGGCTGTCAGTGACACTGTTCCTCTGCATCTGTTTCCACTTTAGATCTATCCATCCCTTTGAAATTCCTGAAATCATCAGCCTGCCTGTTGACCAGGGAAACCCTCTCTACCTCAAATGGATAGGGGAAAGTGTCCCACAGGACTAACCGAACAGCCAGCACCTCCCTTTTGGGACTGCTGAGCCGTGCTGGTCTCCCTGTGTAGGCAGGAGTTATAGACACACGGGGAGGCAGCTTGTATTTTCACGGGTTTGCTGTAACACAGAAGCTTGGGATTGGAAATTTCATTTGCACTTCAAATATCCCCCCCTTGGCCTGATCCTGTGCTCCACGGAGCACCGAGCAGCCCAGAGATGGCGGGGCCAAAGCAGGGCAGGGCTCCATGCACCAAGGACTGTTGCAGCATTGCAGATGAGGAGACAGAGATGCTCAGGTCAGGACACTGCAGCATTTGGGGGCTCCCTCAGGCCCCCAGCAGCAAGTGCCAGCTGGTAGCCACAACCTGGCAGCCCCCGGCCGGCCCTCCCGCGG